GGAAGAGGGAGTATGGCTCTCAAGGAGTTGTCACCAGTAGGGCAACCAAATGGGTTCCATCCTCTGGGAAACTCATAACTCTGACCCCTGGCTCTCTAGGGAGCCAGAGCTGCAGGCATAGACTATACATCTGTCACCACCAGCTGCCCCCTTGGTTCAAGGATGACTAAGGTCTCCCCAGCCCTTCCAATGCTTGCTTTAGATGCTATGTTGTACCATGCCAACAATGATGAACAGGTGGATGGCAGCGGAAATGAGATGCAGGCAAGAAACAGGGTCATCACCTTCCCTCTGTTCCATGCATTTTCAATGGGATCAATAGCGCCCCCAAGGGGAGAAAATTGGTTCCAGCGGGGAAGGGTGAAAACACTCAGATATTACAATCATTTGTGCTCCTCTGAACACCATCCTACCCGGCAAAATCTTAGTCCATCTTATTCCTCACTATTTTGTTTCTCTCTTCTCATTAGGGAGAATTTAAATTGGACTTAGTTTTTCTCTTTAGGGGGCTATTAATGAGAAAAAGTGGAGAAACATTTCTCTAGTCAATCATTCCCTTCTTGCTTTAAGCTAAAACAGAGTCATTTCCTAAGGACACAAAATTTAAATTGGAGGCAGTTTGTGAATGTGTGGCCCAGCTGAATGGGCCCAAGCGGTAGCTGGAACAACTCTCTGGGTTACCACGACATGGAATTTCTGGCTTTGGTATGACTTTCACAGGAATATGCAAGGGGAGGAGATGGGCTTAACACAAGATGAGAGAGAGAAAGAGGGAGAGAAGAAGGAGGAGGAGGAATTGGAGAATGGGGGGAAAAATGTAAGAGGAAGCAGTAGCTATGGATAAATGAGGATACTGAGCAGTGGGAAGCCCTCACTTGACCCTGTATGCTGCCCATCAAAGCTGCGGAGTGGCTCTGTCTGGTTTGGAAGAATAGAAATTTGTTTTTGCAGATGTTGCCTTCTGCTGTTCTTATCCAAAAGGGTGGCTTACAGCCTCATTCCCTGGCCTGACACTTAGGTCAGCCTGTCATCCGGCACTGTCCACATACCACGCCCACTTATGCTCCCAGGTTGAGACCTGCCTCAGAGGGCTCAGCCACACCTGTTCGGGTTTGCCTGAAACCCAGCTGAGTTCCTTTGTTCTTGACCTTGCTCAGACATCCAGAGTGAGGGCTCTGTGTGGCACCCATGAATCTAGTTTCTTTCAGATCTCAAGTGGGCTGTGCTACTTCCTAATGTTGTCTCACCCCAAAGGCTGAGAACACCGCATGCCACAGGACACATTTCCCTTAATGCTTTTAAACACCTTTTAGACTGAAGTCACTGTATGCAATATTTACACGGGAATAGCTACTGCAGTTTCTTTGGGAAGAGGCCAAGGAAAAGAGAGGAAAATGTTTCCAATCCAGAGACTGACTAAAGTACCCTGGCCTGGAAGAGGTACAGAATCAAGTCTAATTCCAATTCACTGCCCAGGAAACTGGCAGCCAGTTAAGCTCTTCTCCTCCCCTTGCATATTCCTGTGAAAGTCACACCAAAGCTAGAGATTCCATGTCGTGGTAACCCAGAGAGTCCCAGCCACAGCCTGGGCCCGTTCTGCTGGGCCACACATTCACGAACTGCCTCCAATTTAAACTTTGCACATTACCTCTATATGAGGCTATATACAGTCACCAAGATACACTCACAGGATAGAAAGAAGACAAAGTCCATCATTCAGATATATACTTATGTTCCGTAACCATATCATACCATGCCCAGAGAACTAAGAAATAACAATTTCTATTACCTGTCGTCATATTTTGAAAAGTATGATTATATTATGGTCTTGTGTGTATGCACGGAAATGTTAATCTGTTAAATATAGACATTTCAAATATGCCACATTGTTAAGACTTGTTTTGGTTTTCTCTCCCCATTTATTAATATACCACAACTTTCAATTAATAGAAATGGCTCCTTATGTGACACCAGGGATCATGTTCGGTAAGAGCTGATTTGTTACTGTCACGGTCATACCCAAAGACAAAATATGATAGGTCAACGGGCCTTGCAATAATTTTGTATATCATAGTGGATACACATAGCATGGGCTGAACAATTATCACTTAATTGATTATGGAGTATCTATTCCATATCAAAGAATAGATATTTCAATCTATTATGGAATATCTGATAGAAAGACTCAAGTTTTTCCTTCTTCGGTAGGTATTTGGCAAGTAATCTTATAACTTTTAGACTTTCTTTATTACAGAAATATTATAGATAAATTATAAAGTATAGAAAAAACAAAGGAAAGAAAACCAGATATTTTCAATGATACGAAATCCTGGTTTAGTATAAGAGAATATTTTTTAAATTCTGGAGAGAAGGGAGTATCTGAGTGTCTACTTTAACGTGTATAGTACAGATAGAGCATATGCTCAACTAAATTACCAAACTGAATACGCAATAATTGAAAAGGCAAAGTAAACTGATATTCTCCCCCTAAAATACCTTACCTCCTAAGCAAGTAAGGATGAACACATAGATTCCCGTCATCGTTACACAAGAGCTTGACAGCATATGAAGGAGCCTGATATACCCATAACATAAAGTAAATGGTGAGGGCTAGAACGTCACCCTATTGCAGCTGTAATAAACATCCTTGTTTTTAAGTTGTGAAAATACTATTCACACATACCTACATTAGCATTCATGCCGCTCACCAAGAATTATTCCAGAAAAAAATCAAGTTTTATGACATGAGAAGAGTACAGGAAAAGGTAGTGGTTTATAGAAGACATCATACAGAGCTATTTTTAAAAGGCTCTAAATCTCAGACAAATGAACAATACTTTCACTAAACTACTATATAATCAAATGTAAATAATTTCCATAATATTTCACCATTCAAACAGGGAGGAAAATGTAGACGTTTAAATAAACAAACACAAATCCTTTATGAAAATTTAGTAAAGACTCTACTAAAGGTAGCAAAGATTCACTTAACTTGATTAATAATTTGGACACAAATTTACTGTTTATAGCTACATAAAATTTTCATCCACAACCAGTGTCACTGGCTGCTAGTATAGTTTGTAGGCAGATACCTTATCTCTCTCTCTATATATATACATTATTTGAAGGAACCTTAAATAATCCGATGCATAGGGGCATACAATGGTATACTGTAACAACAGGCCATTGTCATCATTACCTTCTTAGAGATCAAGGTGGCTACTACTTCTAAAATTTACAGATTAAATGAACTTCCTTGTCTGGGAAGTCAGATTATTGTCCCTATTCTATCTTTACTAGAAATTCTTCAGAAAAAATACACACATATTTAAAATTTCTTCTATGACTTAACTTTAGATATATGTTAATAACATTGTTATGAACAAATAAACCACATTAACCTTTCAAATTTTCTTTGATTTAGCTGCTTTATTTTTACATAGTTAGCTAACTTCCTCTGGAACTTTTGACGGAAAAACGATTTATTCTTCAGTTGCCTAAAGGCTTCAAAGAATTCATTTAACACCCACAATACCCACTTAAATCCGTGTCTCATTCACTTTCAAAATTCACTCCATATTTTTAAGTAGTAACTCAAATATGTAACCAAACACTTGATATCAGAAGGAACCTGATATCAAGCCTTTCTCAATCAAAACCCGCAAATGGGGCGTATCTATTTCCTTCTTACAGATAAAACGAAAGCAAACAAATTATTTATAACTACAAAAAACCTAGTTGAAATCCTCCATTTGCCACAAAATATGCATTTCTCCATTACGTACAACAGAAATACATTTTATTTCACCTAGGGGCACCTGCTGGCTGGAAGGTAAAGTGCCTTTAGAAGTCAACCAGAAACAAAACTGAACAGTGTAAGGAGCAGCTGCATGATCATCTGCATTAGCTGATTATTTACATTATTTATGTGTTGTCCATTATCATTTAGAACCTTAATTTTTGGTCAAAAGTCCCATATGGTCTATCATATTTCTATAATAATTACTGTTTATAAGAAGGAGGAGATTTGAAGAAACTGTAAGTAATCAAAAGAATTCCTATGATGATACACTCTTCCCTTCTCCATTTTCATCTATTAAGCACAAAACATCGATACTATGCTCCTGCAGCCAAAGATGGCTCTTTTGACTTTTTACTTATCATTCATACTGTAATATAGAACGAAATATATGGAATGAAAATTGGTTTGAGCTAACCCCGAAAGCTTTCGATAAAATTAGATAAACAGAAGCATGCAGTTGAATTACATGCTAGAATTAGTGACAAAAATTTACTCTGAGATTTAGATAAATGCACTGGAAAATATGAATTGACCTTCACTTTAAGCAAATACTTGATGGACTCTGAGATATGGTAATACCTCAGTTGTGAAACAATTATGCACCAACAGTCAGAAATAGCATTGTTAGAGGAGCCCTCACAAGGTCAATGGACATACTCTGGGCATTGACTCATTCCTCACACAGCTTAATAAAACAGTCCCTTCCTCATGTACGCATCCCCAGCTCTGAGCTACACAGGCCCACCCTCTCCTCTTCCCTGAACCTCCACAGAACCAGGCCAAGAGGCACCTCCTCTAATTCCAACGACAGCACATTTCCCTTTATTCTCGATGGAGGCCAGGCCCTGGTCTTCTGCCAGACTCTGGCTGAGGGGTCTGAGCTGGGGCTCTCTCCTCAGCCTTCACGCCAGCAACACCATATAGACAGCACCAGGGAAACCAGAACTCTCTCTCACGCTATGTGGCCAGGCTTCTTCCTACACATGATAATATTTATGAAAGGGTAATACCATTTGATGACATTGCAAGGAAGAATAACTATAATTGCCCAAATAAGATTTCGGAAAGGATTTTTCACTATCTGTGTAGCCACACTGTATTCTGTCTTACCAAAACAAGGAAGAAAATTACCCTCTCTGGAATGTAGGTAGCACCTTTTCTGAGCACGCACAGGCAAGCTACGCCCCGCTTTTCATACCTTTGCAGCCACTGACGAGTTCGGTTTCTCCAGCAAGTCCCACAGTTTCTTCCTTTTTTCGGGGCAGCAGGTATTATCGAACTCTTCTCCCTCTCGCTCTCGCATCGTCTCTGCCTCTCGCCTCAGTTCCTCGTTCATTTGTTCCTTCTTTTGGTGATACCTGGCTTGGCAGCAGGACTCCAAGTAGATCTCGTCAATCCCCCAGTAATCAAGCTCTTGGCCGAAAGAGAGCGCGCACATTTCCTCCATCATGTGCAGTTTCCCCGTCCGGTAGAAATTTAAGATGGAAGTGAAGGCTCCTGGATGCCGATCGAAGAAATACTCGTTCTCGTTCAGATTATAGTCATCGCACACCTCCAGGAGGCTCTCGTGTGTGTTGCAGTCTCGAAGCTTCCCCAAGCGCGTCCTGGGCAGCCTGTCCAGCGTTCTCCACAGGACTTCGTGGTTGAGGCCCCCCACGTTGATCTTAACTCTCCGGGAGCACGTTTTGCTCCTGATAATGTCCACAGGCTCTGGAGGAAGAGAAAGCGTCGACCTTGAAGTCTTCCTGTTTAAGCCGGAGGGAGCCTTCTCTGCCATTTTGAACTGGACAGAGCCGCGGGGCCGGGGTCCTGAAGAATGAGGTCAGCTGCGGCGGGGTCCCTCCGGGGCGGGCATCGCCACCGACACGCTGCAAGAAAGCAATAACCGTTTGGTTACTTGCATTTTTTCTTAGAGTATTTCCTATCCTATGGGATCATTTTGTTGTTACGACCAGGAGGTATAACGTTAATTACTGAATATTTTTGGAGATATAAATCTTTGCTGCAGGATATAAGAAAGGAGAAGAAGGCAACACAGTGTTGTAGAACATAGAAGAGGCTACATATTCAATCGCATATACCTATAGGTTGACAGCTCCCAAAAAGATCCATGTACTGATTGGTTCTTTCTAGATAAACCACGGACACTTTAAGCTAAACTGACCACGCCTCCAACCTGCCCAACCAGTTCCGGGTCATTCTGCATTTCGCATTTCACATTTTCCCACCCCATACCCAGTCACCCAAGCTGAAATTCTGAGAAATCCTGGTTCACCCGTCCACGTCCAGATGAGCACCAGGTCTTTCTTATTATGCCTCCTAACCATCGCATACGTCCTCCAACGCCATTACCAAGACTCCATTATCACAATGTTGATTCAAACCCTCAGCGTCACTTGCCTACATTTTTACAACAGCCTCCTAAACTGGATCCCGAACTCTGGTTTTGTCCACCTCAAAAACATTTTCCACACAGCTACTAGAATGATCTGCTATGATACAAATTTGACCTTGCCACTCAGGCTTTAAACCCTGTAAAGGCTCACCATTATTGGAAGTATAAAGTCCTACAAGCATTTTAATGTCTAGTTAATCCTACTAGATCTGGCCTACCTCTCCTCCCTCACCTCTCTTCTGCCTCCTCACTATATTCGAGCAACCCCAGACTGCACACACCATTCTATTTCAAGCTCTTGGCCTTTTCACGCTGCGTCCTGGAAAGGCCTCCACATTTTCCACTCCCTTTTGACTAACTGCTCTTCAAGACTCAGCTCAGACATCACCTCCTCCAGAAAGCCCTCCATGATATCCCCACGCTGGGATCATGAAACTCTCTGTGAATGTCTCTTCTACTTCACCATACCACTGCAATAACACCTTTCCCACAGTATGCTGGGAGTTCTTAAGGACAAAAACCATCTTCTCTATTATTATATCCCTATTACCAACCACAGTGCTTATACATTGTAGGGGTTTAATAAATGTTAAATAATGAACCATTTCTTTATTTTCCACAGACAGCTGGCCAAAGTAATGTACATGGCCAGAAAATGTATAAATGGAATTATTGGGATCATTTGCCTAAAATGTATCCAAGTTTACATATGACGTGTATATAGTATATGTCAGAATGTGTGTGTATGTGTGTGCTTGTATTCTTTTGCTTCACAGCTCTTTTCTCCTGTGTACTAATTCTTTAAAACATTACTGCTCAAGTATTCCCTCTTGTCGATCTATTATTCTGATCTACAACACCAAGCATCTTAGTTATCTTCCCCTGCATGTTTGCAGAAAATCATGGAGCTTCAATTCATCCAAAACACCATCTTTAATGTAAAACACCGTGTTTCGCACAGTCGATGGCTTATATCAAAGGGAAAAACTTTTAGATTTAAGAGGTCCTTATAATTAGAATTCTCTTTTAAGATACACACCAATTTCTGCATGCCTCTGGTTTCTCTATCCTGTAAGTTAAATTTATTTCTCCATCTGCAGGCCAAGTATCCTCTCAAATGAATATAAGTCAAGTTGACGAAAAAATATAGATGGGCTACATAAGAAGTATTTCAAATATGGCCAGTAAATATATTGGAATTAGGAGTTTTTTCAACTACATAGCTACAAGAATATTTTAAGCGTATACACACATTTTCATCACAGATGACAAAAACGCCTATTTTTACAAAAATAAACAAGAGTTGTAATGATTGGGTCAGTAACTTAAACTCTCTGGGCTTCAATTTCTTAATCTACAAAAATAAAGATAATAGTAACTATTTCATAAACAGTATGATGACAATTAAATGAGATAGTTTATGTGAAATGTTCACTATTATATCTTAATAGAGTAAGAATATTCATATTTCTCCCTAAAGTTTGGTTTCCAACCACTGAAAAAAAACTAAGATTAAAAGCTATTATTAGTGTCTGATACAGTTTGGATGTTTGGCCCCTCCAAATCTCATGTTGAAATTTGATCCCCAGTATTGGAGATGGGGCTTCGTGGGGGGTGTTTGGGTCATGGAGGCGAATCCCTCACAAATGGCTTGGTGCCCTCCCTGCAGTAATGAGTGAGTTCTCACTTTTATTAATTCAAGCGAGAGCTGGTTGCTTTAAAGAGCCTGGCACCACCTCCTCGCTCTCTTGCTCCCCTCTGGCAGTGTGACACACCTGCTCCTCCTTTGCCTTCTGCCTTGAGTGGAAGCTCCCTGAAGCCCTCACTGGAAGTAGATGGTGCCATGCTTGTACAGTCTGTAAAACCGTGACCCAAATAAACCTCTTCTCTTTATAAATTACCCAGTCTCTGGTATTACTTTACAGCTATGTAAAACAGACTAACACTGTGTCTGTTAAATAAATTTTAGCTTTAAAATGTTTTCCTTACATATATATTCTGTCTTCCCCAGTAGATTATAAGTGAATGGGGCTTGGAATTGTAGGTCCCATCTTTCCTCTACCGAGCACGAGACCCACATATACCAGGCACCTCATAGTGTATTTCTTTGGCACCACTAATGCTCATGTTCAAATTTTGTATTCAGGTGCCAGTGAACTACATATATTTTAAAAATTGAGCAACGGTATCAGGATCAGGCAAAAACAGCTGAAAATATTAGAGACGGGGCAATTCCAGTGGTGAATCTGAATGGCCAGTCTCCATTAAATTACTCAGTGATAGGTACACCGACATCTCAGCAATCCATATAGATTATGTGACTAGTCCACATAAATAATAAGCTGTTAACTAATTCCTTTTGAATCTGAATACAAAAAAACATGAAATGAATTTACTCTTTTTGGAATATCAAGTCTTATACTAATGTGAAGAAGATAAACAGTTTTCAAACTGAATATACTATCAGATAGGAGGTTTTCCAGAAAGAGAGCTGACTCCAATGTGATACAAATATCTTATTTGTTTGTGGTCAAGGGCATAGTGTGATTTGCTGTCTTGTAAAACTCATTACTAAAAGCAAATGCTGTCATAGTCACTGGTAGGTCACCATTTATCTTAAATAATTTCACGCTTGTGATGTATAGTGAATTTTCCTTTTTATACAGCATGTCTCTCAAGTGAAGAGAGGTCATAAGACTTAAATTTTGAAACATCTTCTCCACATATCAAGAACATTCTATTATAGGAAATCCAGCATTGATTCCAAATCCCACAATAAATGACAGGCTGAAATTCAAAGCCCTTTCTTCAAACCAGGGTAGAGAAACTCAGGGTGAGAGAATGGTCTGTTGATTTCCCTTTCTTAAGACTTAAAGATGATCTGTTCTTATTGTTACTGTGGTTAATATTTTGTATTCTCCCTTGGCAGAATGTTCTGCTTGTTAACTTATAAAGAGTGCAGGCTCAAAGACATAAGTTCTGGAGCAGTCGAAGAGCTTTGAATAGTGTTAAGAAATTTAATGAAGCCTGTAGAATAAGCCTATGATAAACGGAAGCTGCAGAGCATCAGCCATGATCACGGTACCTTTGGTGAAACTCTCTGAGCCTTTCTGTCGGCCTGGGTGCCACTCCCCCTTCTCTCGCCTCCTCTGTGGGTTTCCCTCTCACTTGCCCCTATCTCTGTTACGCCACATGCTGCTTATCATTCTTCCTTTCTTTTCCCTCCCTTCCTATCCTACTCCTTAGATCATTCCATCCTCACAGCCTCTTAACCAACCACAAAACCAAACTATATATTTTCAGACTTGCATATACTTCATAAAGTTTCCTATAGTCGATCTTAATATAAATGCCTCCTGGGTTGAAAATACCATGTTTCCCTCCAGATGAGGATAAAAATATCTAAACAGAGTTGCTTTTATTTTTATGTAATTTTATTTTATTTATTATTATTAATATTTTTTTTATGAGACAGGGCCTCTCTCTGTTACTCAGGCTAGAGTGCAGTGGCATCATCATAGCTCACTCCAACCTCAAACTCCAGAGCTCAAGCAATTCTCCTGCCTCAGCCTCCCCAGTAGGTGGGACTATAGGCCTGCGCCACCACGCCCAGCTAATTTTTCTATTTTTTGTAGAGATGGGAAGATGCACTCTTGCTCACGCTGGTCTCAAACTCCTGGCCTCAAGCAATCCTCCCACCTCAGCCTCCCAAAGTGCTAGGATTACAGGCATGAGCCACCGCGCCCAGCCCAGAGTTGCTTTTAATGGGAGGTCAAATGGAATCCTAAAAAGGGCTCTGTCTGAGGCTCATGACACCTGAGTCCAGTCTGGATGACCTTCTACATCCTCTGCACCTTTCTCATTAGACTTCAGTGTCCTCACCGATTAACAATGGCATTTCCATGCCTACAGTTCCTTGATTTCCTATGACACTTGATTAAATTTTTTTGTACCACTATGATTCTGTGGCACTTGCCTCCTCACTCCCTCCAATCATTACCCTTACTTTAGATAGAAATAAACTTATCATACTATCTCACAGTCAATGGAAACATTTTTTCATGTCTAGTTTCTTGAGAAAAGGTGTTTTTCATATTTCAAGAATGCTTTAATATTTATCATGGCTTGAAACAGACTACTTTCAGAATATCATAAAATTTCCATGTATTTTATTTAGTGTTTAGTTAATTTTCTGCACTTTAACTTCTCCTTTTTAATTTATGTTCTTTTCTGCCATATTAATTTTTCTTCTAACAATGAGTCTGTCACTCCCCTCTGGGTTAGGTATTGTTTCTTACCACCCTAGAGCTCTAGAGGGTTTGCAAAATTTATGTTTTTAATTTTGGTAATTAAAGTAGATGCAGTGTTACATTTTTCTCACATATAGTTTTAGAAGTGAAATTATGTCTATTATAGTGATTTACTTACCCATAAAACTAATCATGTAATTCCATTCAGTATATAA